GCTCCGCTATTTCTGACAGTTCTCTGACAGTTCCTTCACATTTACAGTGGTTGAAACATTGTATCTATTTGTTTCCGAATCAAAACATCTGTATCCTAAATGGAAACAAATAGATACAATGTTTCAACCGCTGTAAATGTGAAGGAACTGTCAGAGAACTGTCAGAAATAGCGGAGCTCTCTGCAGGGGACACTTTTTGCCGGCTGTAGAAGGGATGAAAATCGGCCGATCGGGAAAAATTCGATTCGTGCATCCGAAGTTTGCTAATTTTCGGATTCGGTGCGAATCGAATTTTTCCTAATATTCTAAACGAATTCCACTTCGCCAAGTTCGATTCGCTCATCTCTAGTGGGCATACCACACACTTTTTTGGCAGAGATTTCTACTCTTTTTTTCATTCAGCCCACAGGCTGCATACAAAAAAAGAAAAAAGAGCATAGCATACTGTATATGCCCAACAAGGACCAGCGAAGTCCTGGTATCCTTTTTTTTCAGCCAACGATCAGCTTTCATGTAAAAGCAATCCTAGTGGCTAATTAGCTGCAGGATTGCTTTAACAAGCAGTGGGACATGATGCCCCCCCTCCCCCACTGCCTTTCATGGCCTTCTCGGGCAGTCCCGTGCCATTGGGGGAACCTGAGAATGCAGCCGGTGTTTCTGCCAGCTGACCATAGAGCTGATTGGAGACTAGAATGGTGCCAATCAAACAGAAATAATACTGTCAGTCAGTATGACATGCAGATGAGTGCCGTCGATCTTAGAATCACCGCACACTTCACTCATTTGGGCAGTCACGGGGCACGACGAAGAAGATGAAGAAGAAGATGAAGAAGAAGAAGAAGATGAAGAAGAAGAAGAAGATGAAGAAGAAGAAGAAGAAGATGAAGAATAAGTCGAAGAAGATAAAGAAGAAGAGATGATGAAGAAGATGATGATGAAGAAGATGATGAAGAAGAAGAAGATGAAGAAGAAGATAATGAAGAAGAAGAAGATAATGAAGAAGAAGAAGATAATGAAGAAGAAGAAGATGAAGAAGAAGAAGATGAAGAAGAAGATGATGAAGAAGAAGAAGAGAAGAAGAAGAAGAAGAAGAAGAAGAAGAAGAAGAAGATGAAGAAGAAGATGAAGAAAGAAAGAAGAAGAAGAAGAAGAAGAAAAAGAGGATGAGGAAGAAGAAGAAGAAGAGGATGAGGATGAAGAAGAAGAAGAAGAAGAAGATGAGAGGATGAAGAAGAAGATGAAGAAGATGATGATAAAGAAGATGATGAAGAAGAAGAAGATGAAGAAGAAGATGATGAAGAAGAAGATGATGAAGAATAAGAATAAGAAGAAGAAGAAGAAGATGAAGAAGAAGAAAAAGATGAAGAAGAAGAAGAAGAAGAAGAAGAAGAAGAAGAGGATGAGGAAGAAGAAGAAGAGGATGAGGATGAAGAAGAAGAAGAAGAAGAAGATGAGGAAGAAGAAGAAGAAGAAGATGAGGATGAAGAAGAAGAAGAAGAAGATGAGGATGAAGAAGAAGAAGAAAGAAGAAGAAGATGAGGAAGAAGAAGAAGAGGATGAGGATGAAGAAGAAGAAGAAGAAGAGGATGAGGATGAAGAAGAAGAAGAAGAAGAAGAAGAGGATGAGGATGAAGAAGAAGAAGAAGAAGAAGTAGGATGAAAATAAGAAGAATTCCATTCCAGCAAAAAGTGTATCTGCAGAGAGCTCCGCTATTTCTGACAGTTCTCTGACAGTTCCTTCACATTTACAGCGGTTGAAACATTGTATCTATTTGTTTCCGAATCAAAACATCTGTATCCTAAATGGAAACAAATAGATACAATGTTTCAACCGCTGTAAATGTGAAGGAACTGTCAGAGAACTGTCAGAAATAGCGGAGCTCTCTGCAGGGACACTTTTTGCCGGCTGTAGAAGGGATGAAAATCGGCCGATCGGAAAAAAATTCGATTCGTGCATCCAAAGTTTGCTAATTTTCGGATTCGGTGCGAATCGAATTTTTCCTAATATTCGAAACGAATTCCACTTCGCCAAGTTCAATTCGCTCATCTCTAGTGGGCATACCACACACTTTTTTGGCAGAGATTTCTACTCTTTTTTTCATTCAGCCCACAGGCTGCATACATAAAAAAAGAAAAAAGAGCATAGCATACTGTATATGCCCAACAAGGACCAGCGAAGTCCTGGTATCCTTTTTTTCAGCCAACGATCAGCTTTCATGTAAAAGCAATCCTAGTGGCTAATTAGCTGCAGGATTGCTTTAACAAGCAGTGGGACATGATGCCCCCCCCCTCCCCCACTGCCTTTCATGGCCTTCTCGGGCAGTCCCGTGCCATTGGGGGAACTTGAGAATGCAGCCGGTGTTTCTGCCAGCTGACCATAGAGCTGATTGGAGACTAGAATGGTGCCAATCATTTCTATAGCCTAAGAAATCGGAAGCTAAAATCATTTCATCACTTCAGTTTCGCAGGATATAAACAGCGCCATTTGTAAACTGGGAAAGTATATGATCACACCGATTTTGGTTTGATTAGATAATGTAAGGGCAGAGGAGATATCCAGAGTCTGATAGAACCCAGATTTCTCAAAAAAGAATATATGACAATGCCCATTGAAGTTATAGGGGATATTTGCATTCCCTGTGATAGCATAAAAAGTGATAAAAAAAAATTAAAGGGACAGTGTAAAAATAATTTAAACAATCAAAATAACTTAAAGAAAAAAATTACCCCTCGCACCCCCGAGCACGCACGCACCTACGTTATTGAGCGTTGACCCTGTGCCAGTATGGAAACAGAAGTTGCACCATGCATGTGAGGTATCGCCACGAACATCAGATCAAGGGCAGTAATTCTAACACTAGACCTCTTCTGTAAATCTAAAATGGTAGCTTGTAAAGGCTTTTAAAACGTTGCCTATGGATATTAAAAAGTATGCAGTTTGTCACCATTGCATGGGGGCATGCGCAGTTTTTAAAGCATGTCATGTTTGGTATCTATTTACTGGGCATACCATCATTTTTTATATCTTACCAAATAATTGGCCAATATATTGTGTTTTTGTGCATTACAAGTAAAAAAAGTGTTTTTTTTTTTTTTTAAATTGCGTTTGAAAAATTGCTGTGCGAGTACTATGTGACAGAAAAAATTGCAGCACCCACAATTTTATTCACTAGGGTGTTTGTTTTAAAAAAATATATAATGTTTGGTGGTTTAAATTAATTTTCCTAGCAAAAAATACAGATTTTTTTTTCATGTGAACAAAAAGTGTCAGAAAAGGCTTGGTCTTCAGGTGGTTTGAAGAGTGAGTGATGTGTGTCATAAACTTCTAATGCTGGGCATAAAATGCCCCCACCCCCCAAAACAACACTTTTTTGGACAGTAAACACCCCAAAATATTTGCTGAGATTTGTTGAATCAATAAAAGAATACATTTTTTTACCACAAGTTTTTGGAAAATGACAAAAAAATGTTTTTTTTAAATTGTCAGTTAAATGATTTATTGCTCACACATGCCATGGGTATATGTGGAATTACTCCCCAAAATACATTCTGCTACTTCTCCCAAGTATTGGGGTACCACATGTGAGAGACATTTTGGTAGTCTAGCCAAGTACAGGACCCCAAAATCCAATAAGCACCTTCAGGCTTTTAAAGGGCTTTATTTCCTCATTACACTTCCTCACTACCTATCACAGTTTCGGAGGCCCTGAAATGCCAGGATAGCACCAAACCCCCCCCCCCCAAATGACCACTTTTTGGAAAGTAGACACCCCAAGGAATTTGATGAGAAGCATGGTGAGTATTTTTCAGATCTTGTTTGTTGCCACAAGTTTTTGGAAAATGAAAAAAAAACAAAAACATATTTTTTCTTTTTTTTTTATATTTCAAAACCTTGTGAAAAAAAATGAGATCTTCAAAATACTCATCATGCCTCTTTTTAAATTCCTTGGAGTGTCTACTTTCCAAAAAGGGGTCATTTGGGGGGGGGGGGGAGTGTGTGTCTGGTGCTGTCCTGGCATTTCAGGACCTTTGAAACTGTGATAGGCAGTGAGGAAGTGAAATGAGTAAGTTACGCACCTTCAGGCTTTCAAAGTGGTCATTGGATTTCAGGCTTCTGTATGTGGCTAGGCTCTCAAAAAGTCTCACACATGTGGTATCCCTATACTCATTAGAAGTAGCAGGATGTATTTTGGGGGTGTAATTCCACATATACCCATGGCTTGTGTGAGAAATATATAATTTAAATGACAACTTTGTGTAAAAAAAAAAAGGTTTTCGTCATTTTCCAGAAACTTGTGGAAAATTTTTTTCCATGGACTCAATATGCCTCTCAGCACATAGCTTAGGGTGTCTACTTTCTGAAAATAGGTCATTTGAGGGTGTTTGTACTATCCTGGTATTTTAGCACCTCAAGAAATGTGCAAACAGAAAGTAAAAGCTGTGCAAAGTCCATTATCTATATACCATAGTTTGTAGATGCTATAACTTTCACACAAAGCAATCAATATACACTTATTGGGATTTTTTTAACCAAAAACATGTATCAGAATACATTTTGGCCTAAATTTATGACAGCATTTTAGTTTTTTTTGGATATTTTTAATACAGAAATGAGAAAATATCGTTTTTAAAAAAAAGAAAAAAAATTTCTCAAGTTTTTTTTGTTTTTAGCGCCAAAAATAAAAAGTGCACAGGTGATCAAATACCACTAAAACAAAGCTCTATTTGTGTGAAAAAAAAGGACATCAACTGTATTTATGTACCATATTGCATGACCGTGCAATTGTCAGTTAAACTAGTGCAGCACTGTATAGCAAACAAATGGTGTAAATGGCAGTGTCTATACCATGGTTTGTAGACGCTATAACTAGAGATGAGCGAAGTATTCAAAAATTCGATTCGACTGATTCGGCGAATTCGTAGAAAAATTTCGATTCGAGTCGAATATATTCGCTGTGAATTTAACTTAAAAAAGGGTGTTTCTAGGCTTCAGAGAGACTTAATATTAGTGCTGAACACTGTACCTTTAATTTAAATGCCCTTGGAGTCTGCTGGGGAAGAGAAATAATACTGTCAGGCAGTATGACATGCAGATGAGTGCCGTCGATCTTAGAATCACCGCACACTTCACTCATTTGGCCAGTCACGGGGCCAAAACCAGAGTGTGGAGCCACAGTGTGGCGGTGGAGGCAGCAGCAATGGGAGGCCATACAGCACCCTATGACAAAAATGGAAACCACCAGCAGTGTGAGGAGACCTGAAAGTGGCACATGGCAGAGTGTGGCGATAGAGACAGCAGCAATGGGAGGCCGTACAGGGACCCATGAGACACTCTGGACCTGGCAGCAGCATGAGGAGGCGGTACAGGGGCCCATGGCAGATTACGGGCCTGGCAGCAGCATGAGGAGTCGGTACGGGGGCCCATGGCAGATTACAGGCCTGGCAGCAGCAATGGGAGGCCGTACAGGGACCCATGACACAATCTGGACGTGGCAGCAGCATGGGGAGGCGGTACAGGGGCCCATGACAGATTACGGGCCTGGCAGCAGCATTTGGAGTCGGTACGGGGCCCATGACACACTCTGGACCTGGCAGCAGCATGAGGAGGCGGTACAGGGGCGCATGACAGATTACGAGCCTGGCAGCAGCAACTTGGACAGGAGGACGTTCAGTTTCACTGTCTGGTGCGTGCTCGCAAACTGTTGTCTCTTGGAAACGGATTCCAAGAAAGACTGCTGACGGAATCCGTGAAGAGGAGTAGCAGGAGAAGGAGCATCTGAACGAGCGGAATATGCCAACAAGCGACAACAGGGGCCTATGGCAGATTAGGGGCCTGGCAGCAGCAGCTATGGGAGGCCCGTAATCTGCCCAGCCAGCACCCTATGTCAAAAAAAATTCTAACACACCAGCAGTGTGTGAGGAGACCTGAAAGTGGCACATGGCAGAGTGTGGCGATGGAGACAGCAGCAATGGGAGGCCGTACAGGGACCCATGAGAGACTCTGGACCTGGCAGCAGCATGAGGAAGCGGTATAGGGGCCTATGGCAGATTAGGGGCCTGGCAGCAGCTATAAGGAGGCCCATAATCTGCCAGCACCCTATGTCAAAAAATTCTACACACCAGCAGTGTGTGAGGAGACCTGAAAGTGGCACATGGCAGAGTGTGGCGATGGAACAGCAGCAATGGGAGGCCGTACAGGGACCCATGACAGACTCTGGACCTGGCAGCAGCATGAGGAGGCGGTATATAGGGGCCCATGGCAGATTAGGGGGCCTGGCAGCAGCTATGGGGAGGCCCGTAATCTGCCAGCACCCTATGTCAAAAAATTCTACACACACCAGCAGTGTGTGAGGAGACCTGAAAGTGGCACATGGCAGAGTGTGGCGATGGAGACAGCAGCAATGGGAGGCCGTACAGGGACCCATGACAGACTCTGGACCTGGCAGCAGCATGAGGAGCGGTATATAGGGGCCCATGGCAGATTAGGGGCCTGGCAGCAGCTATGGGAGGCCCATAATCTGCCAGCACCCTATGTCAAAAAATTCTACACACCAGCAGTGTGTGAGGAGACCTGAAAGTGGCACATGGCAGAGTGTGGCGATGGAGACAGCAGCAATGGGAGGCCGTACAGGGACCCATGAGAGACTCTGGACCTGGCAGCAGCATGAGGAAGCGGTATATAGGGGCCTATGGCAGATTAGGGGCCTGGCAGCAGCTATAGGAGGCCCATAATCTGCCAGCACCCTATGTCAAAAAATTCTACACACCAGCAGTGTGTGAGGAGGAGACCTGAAAGTGTGGCACATGGCAGAGTGTGGCGATGGAGACAGCAGCAATGGGAGGCCGTACAGGGACCCCCATGAGAGACTCTGGACCTGGCAGCAGCATGAGGAGGGCGGTATATAGGGGCCTATGGCAGATTAGGGGCCCTGGCAGCAGCTATGGGGAGGCCCCGTAATCTGCCAGCACCCTATGTCAAAAAATTCTACACACCAGCAGTGTGTGAGGAGACCTGAAAGTGGCACATGGCAGAGTGTGGCGATGGAGGAGACAGCAGCAATGGGAGGCCGTACAGGGACCCATGAGAGACTCTGGACCTGGCAGCAGCAGCATGAGGAGGCGGTATATAGGGGCCCATGGCAGATTAGGGGCCTGGCAGCAGCTATGGGAGGCCCATAATCGCCAGCACCCTATGTCAAAAAATTCTACACACCAGCAGTGTGTGAGGAGACCTGAAAGTGGCACATGGCAGAGTGTGGCGATGGAGACAGCAGCAATGGGAGGCCGTACAGGGACCCATGACAGACTCTGGACCTGGCAGCAGCATGAGGAGGCGGTATATAGGGGCCTATGGCAGATTAGGGGCCTGGCAGCAGCTATGGGAGGCCCGTAATCTGCCAGCACCCTATGTCAAAAAATTCTACACACCAGCAGTGTGTGAGGAGACCTGAAAGTGGCACATGGCAGAGTGTGGCGATGGAGACAGCAGCAATGGGAGGCCGTACAGGGACCCATGAGAGACTCTGGACCTGGCAGCAGCATGAGGAAGCGGTATATAGGGCCCTATGGCAGATTAGGGGCCTGGCAGCAGCTATGGGAGGAGGCCCGTAATCTGCCAGCACCCTATGTCAAAAAATTCTACACACCAGCAGTGTGTGAGGAGACCTGAAAGTGGCACATGGCAGAGTGTGGCGATGGAGACAGCAGCAATGGGAGGCCGTACAGGGACCCATGAGAGACTCTGGACCTGGCAGCAGCATGAGGAGAGCGGTATATAGGGGCCTATGGCAGATTAGGGGCCTGGCAGCAGCTATGGGAGGCCCATAATCTGCCAGCACCCTATGTCAAAAAATTCTACACACCAGCAGTGTGTGAGGAGACCTGAAAGTGGCACATGGCAGAGTGTGGCGATGGAGACAGCAGCAATGGGAGGCCGTACAGGGACCCATGAGAGACTCTGGACCTGGCAGCAGCATGAGGAGGCGGTATATAGGGGCCTATGGCAGATTAGGGGCCTGGCAGCAGCTATGGGAGGCCCATAATCTGCCAGCACCCTATGTCAAAAAATTCTACACACCAGCAGTGTGTGAGGAGACCTGAAAGTGGCACATGGCAGAGTGTGGCGATGGAGACAGCAGCAATGGGAGGCCGTACAGGGACCCATGACAGACTCTGGACCTGGCAGCAGCATGAGGAGGCGGTATATAGGGGCCTATGGCAGATTAGGGGCCTGGCAGCAGCTATGGGAGGCCCATAATCTGCCAGCACCCTATGTCAAAAAATTCTACACACCAGCAGTGTGTGAGGAGACCTGAAAGTGGCACATGGCAGAGTGTGGCGATGGAGACAGCAGCAATGGGAGGCCGTACAGGGACCCATGACAGACTCTGGACCTGGCAGCAGCATGAGGAGGCGGTATATAGGGGCCTATGGCAGATTAGGGGCCTGGCAGCAGCTATGGGAGGCCCGTAATCTGCCAGCACCCTATGTCAAAAAATTCTACACACCAGCAGTGTGTGAGGAGACCTGAAAGTGGCACATGGCAGAGTGTGGCGATGGAGACAGCAGCAATGGGAGGCCGTACAGGGACCCATGAGAGACTCTGGACCTGGCAGCAGCATGAGGAGGCGGTATATAGGGGCCTATGGCAGATTAGGGGCCTGGCAGCAGCTATGGGAGGCCCATAATCTGCCAGCACCCTATGTCAAAAAATTCTACACACCAGCAGTGTGTGAGGAGACCTGAAAGTGGCACATGGCAGCAGAGTGTGGCGATGGAGACAGCAGCAATGGGAGGCCGTACAGGGACCCATGACAGACTCTGGACCTGGCAGCAGCATGAGGAGGCGGTATATAGGGGCCTATGGCAGATTAGGGGCCTGGCAGCAGCTATGGGAGGCCCGTAATCTGCCAGCACCCTATGTCAAAAAATTCTACACACCAGCAGTGTGTGAGGAGACCTGAAAGTGGCACATGGCAGAGTGTGGCGATGGAGACAGCAGCAATGGGAGGCCGTACAGGGACCCATGAGAGACTCTGGACCTGGCAGCAGCATGAGGAGGCGGTATATAGGGGCCTATGGCAGATTAGGGGCCTGGCAGCAGCTATGGGAGGCCCGTAATCTGCCAGCACCCTATGTCAAAAAATTCTACACACCAGCAGTGTGTGAGGAGACCTGAAAGTGGCACATGGCAGAGTGTGGCGATGGAGACAGCAGCAATGGGAGGCCGTACAGGGACCCATGAGAGACTCTGGACCTGGCAGCAGCATGAGGAGGCGGTATATAGGGGGCCTATGGCAGATTAGGGGCCTGGCAGCAGCTATGGGAGGCCCGTAATCTGCCAGCACCCTATGTCAAAAAATTCTACACACACCAGCAGTGTGTGAGGAGACCTGAAAGTGGCACATGGCAGAGTGTGGCGATGGAGACAGCAGCAATGGGAGGCCGTACAGGGACCCATGAGACTCTGGACCTGGCAGCAGCATGAGGAAGCGGTATATAGGGGCCCTATGGCAGATTAGGGGCCTGGGCAGCAGCTATGGGAGGCCCATAATCTGCCAGCACCCTATGTCAAAAAATTCTACACACCAGCAGTGTGTGAGGAGACCTGAAAGTGGCACATGGCAGAGTGTGGCGATGGAGACAGCAGCAATGGGAGGCCGTACAGGGACCCATGACAGACTCTGGACCTGGCAGCAGCATGAGGAGGCGGTATATAGGGGCCTATGGCAGATTAGGGGCCTGGCAGCAGCTATGGGAGGCCCATAATCTGCCCAGCACCCTATGTCAAAAAATTCTACACACCAGCAGTGTGTGAGGAGACCTGAAAGTGGCACATGGCAGAGTGTGTGGCGATGGAGACAGCAGCAATGGGAGGCCGTACAGGGACCCATGAGAGACTCTGGACCTGGCAGCAGCATGAGGAAGCGGTATATAGGGGCCTATGGCAGATTAGGGGCCTGGCAGCAGCTATGGGAGGCCCGTAATCTGCCAGCACCCTATGTCAAAAAATTCTACACACCAGCAGTGTGTGAGGAGACCTGAAAGTGGCACATGGCAGAGTGTGGCGATGGAGACAGCAGCAATGGGAGGGCCGTACAGGGACCCATGACAGACTCTGGACCTGGCAGCAGCATGAGGAGGCGGTATATAGGGGCCTATGGCAGATTAGGGCCTGGCAGCAGCTATGGGAGGCCCATAATCTGCCAGCACCCTATGTCAAAAAATTCTACAACACACCAGCAGTGTGTGAGGAGACCTGAAAGTGGCACATGGCAGAGTGTGGCGATGGAGACAGCAGCAATGGGAGGCCGTACAGGGACCCATGACAGACTCTGGACCTGGCAGCAGCATGAGGAGGCGGTATATAGGGGCCTATGGCAGATTAGGGGCCTGGCAGCAGCTATGGGAGGCCCATAATCTGCCAGCACCCTATGTCAAAAAATTTCTACACACCAGCAGTGTGTGAGGAGACCTGAAAGTGGCACATGGCAGAGTGTGGCGATGGAGACAGCAGCAATGGGAGGCCGTACAGGGACCCATGACAGACTCTGGACCTGGCAGCAGCAGCATAGGAGGCGGTATATAGGGGCCCTATGGCAGATTAGGGGCCTGGCAGCAGCTATGGGAGGCCCATAATCTGCCAGCACCCTATGTCAAAAAATTCTACACACCAGCAGTGTGTGAGGAGACCTGAAAGTGGCACATGGCAGAGTGTGGCGATGGAGACAGCAGCAATGGGAGGCCGTACAGGGACCCATGACAGACTCTGGACCTGGCAGCAGCATGAGGAGGCGGTATATAGGGGCCTATGGCAGATTAGGGGCCTGGCAGCAGCTATGGGAGGCCCATAATCTGCCAGCACCCTATGTCAAAAAATTCAACACACCAGCAGTGTGTGAGGAGACCTGAAAGTGGCACATGGCAGAGTGTGGCGATGGAGACAGCAGCAATGGGAGGCCGTACAGGGACCCATGAGAGACTCTGGACCTGGCAGCAGCATGAGAGAGGCGGTATATAGGGCCCATGGCAGATTAGGGGCCTGGCAGCAGCTATAGGAGGCCCATAATCTGCCAGCACCCTATGTCAAAAATTAACACACCAGCAGTGTGTGAGGAGACCTGAAAGTGGCACATGGCAGAGTGTGGCGATGGAGACAGCAGCAATGGGAGGCCGTACAGGGACCCATGAGAGACTCTGGACCTGGCAGCAGCATGAGGAGGCGGTATATAGGGGCCTATGGCAGATTAGGGGCCTGG